GGTAGGTTCTGATCGATTTAAGTGCCATATCTGGTCTTCATTTAACTTGTACCAATTTCAGATCTGATGCCTGCCCCTCCCCCTTCCCGCCCTTTCCCACATCAATGGATTCCGCATGGAGGAGATTCCAACTATTATTCTGAGGTGCTGTTATTAATAGCTAGCATGAGCACCTCTCATGTGCCAGGCTCTGTGCCTGGTTTCCCTGCATTCTCACTTAATCCTCCCATAGATCCTGTGTCGTAGGAACTATTATTAGTCCCATCTTACAAAAAAGGAACAAAGATTTACAGAATTGTAGCTTGCCCAAGGTCACAGAGCTAATTAGCCAGTTCTTTCTGATTCCAAAGCCCAGGCTCTTGGCCCTACCCTAGTGCCTCCTGGGTACATTTAAAGAAATGTGATTACTGATAGAAATGCTTGTGTTTGTCAGGAGCAGCCTCCAGTAAGGTCAGTGGAGGAGGAGAGGGGTGGTATTATAGCAAGATAACAGGGCTCTTAGAGAGTTGGGCAACCTACAAATGATATAAAGGGACGAAAGATACAATATTTTTTGGGGGGAGGGGGACGGGTACTGGTATTAAACCAGGGCCTTCACCCTGAGCTACAACAACAGCCCTTTTCTCCATTTTTTTATTTGAGGCTGGGTCTCACTAAGTCACTGAATTGTCCAAGCTGGGCTCAGATTTGCAATCCTGCCTCAGCCTCCCAATACGCTGGAAGTACAGGGCATTATCTTGACTAAGGAGAAAACAACTCTTTTCCTCTTCCTCCCTAGAAGTAAAATATTTACTACTCTAGAAACTTTGGGGCTGGGGAGTTAGCTTGACAGTCTAAGTGCCTGCCTGGCAAACACAAGGACCTGGGTTCAATCCTGGGTACGGCCCCGCCCAGGGTGCACCAAGCCAGCAGAAACTAGGTGTGGTGGCGCACGGCTATAATCCCAGTGCTGGGTAGGCTGAGACAGGAGGATCACTGTTAAGTCTAAGCTGCGTAGTGAGAACCTGTACCAAATAAACACATTTTAAAAAAAGAAACTAAATTTTGGTTATCCTATTCATTCATTCATTCATTCATTCAACCAACCAACAGGTATTTTACCCAAGTGTCACTCAGGACTAAATACTGTCACACTGAGCAACTCAGAAAAGTTCTCAGTCCTCTGTCCCACTAAACAAGCAGACAGCATGTTTCAGATAATATTTAAGTGCTCTGAAAAACATAAAGGCAAGGCAAGGCAGGAGGAGAGGGCCGTATGCTCTAGACCCAAGTGAGAGGGAGTCAGTCACACAAAAATTGAGACGGGCCATCCTGGAATAGTAGAAAAAGCCTATGACCAAAGGCCCAGAGCACATACCAGAAGGCCTAGGAAGGGAAGCCAGGGGAGAGGCTGGGCAAGGGAGGCAGCACACAGCCTCCAGAGCAAGGGGCTGAGTGATATCTGAAGGGCAAGGGAAGATAGGGAGACATGAAACAGAGAAGCAGCACACACTGACTTACTGTTGAGCCCTCCGGAGCTCTAGCCACAGCTCCCAGGGAGATTCGGGCAGGTGCAATCCTTGACAGAGTCCAGTGTGCAGAGCCTTTTGTTAAGGATAATATACTGGAAACTGTCCACTCTAACAAAACAGCTTTAGCCTGCAGGCCCTGGCTGGCTTTCCACCACAGCAGGCCAACATCCAAAGCGATGGCCTCTTCATTTTCCAGAGCTTGTCTGAACACCTATTGGTGGAGCTGATGGTCCCCCGGGAAATGCTGAGCTAATTTCCAAAGGGAACTGATCCTGCGCCTTCATTTGCATCTCCCCTGAACATCTCTTTCCTCTGCTTTTCCTATCCTACCCTACTTATCTCTTGCCATGCTTTGTTGCTCTCTGGCTTTCTACATACACTCCAACCATTCTGAGTATGAGCTGCTAACCAAAATAACATGATTGAAGTTAATTTCCTACACAATCCCACAACGTATGTCCCCACAGAAAGCACACCTTTGGCAAAACAGACCACGGGTGATTGTGTATTTGGAATATTGAGTCCTTTTTTGAAACTAAATGGCAGCTTTAATTCAAAGAAATTTGTTCTGCCAACATGTTTGGACACAAGAGGAGGAGAAAACTACTAATATATGGCTGCATCAGGTGTTTGTGTTTATGCTTAAAGGCAGAGGTAACAGCATCAGAAACTGGATGACTAACAAGATCTACCTGCACACAGGAGCTGGGCTGCCCGGGAACCAAAGCTAAGCAGGGAATGCAATGTGGGAACTTGTAGTCTCTTACTAACATCTCACAGACAAGCCCTGACTCCCCTACCCCCTAAATAAAAACAAAGCCACCAGCCTGCCTTTCCCCCAGGCTACACAGTGCAGACATAAAACAAAATCAACCCTTCCTTCTGCAGGCCAATTGTTAATCCCCTGGGGAACCATGACAGGGTTGCTGTTTCAAAACCATTAACATCATTATGACAAGGAAAACTCACTTAATCTGTGAATAGAACAGCAACTCATCAGCTCCCCTCCCAACCCCCCGCCCCCAAGCACCTAGAAACATCCAGCCACCGGGAACAGTGAGCAGCAGCCCTCAAGCGAGCTGGGGTGGAGCAGGAAGGGAGGGCTGCCAGTCTCTTACCAACTGCTGCCGCACGGCAGCTGAAAACAAACTATCCCGCGCCCTTAGACTTCTCAAAACTCAAGCTTAGTGTGATCAGCAGCTGAGTGACCTTGGGGCTGGAGTGTGGGCCATACACCTGACTTCTGCACTTCCTATCAAGTTCCTGCTGGTCATTTATTGCTACCAACTCCCACTGGAGCAGTTTCTAATCAACCACCTTGCATCACAACCTCACAGATACTTATTTCAAATGCAGATTCCAGTGCCCCACTTGCAAATAACTCTGGAGTGGCCCTACAAACTGTACTGCTGGACACTACCCTGGTAGTGTCATCTTTACATGTATTTAATTTTGGGGACCTCCACCCCAAACTGATGTTTCTCTAACTGCGGGTCGTGACCTATTTGGTTAGGAAATAAAATTAATGAGTCATGACCAGCAGCTGAATTTTTTTAATTTTTAAATTAAGTAGAGCACACTGTAAAGGTAATGATTATTGTTTCCTGGAACTTATGTCAGTTGTGGCCCAGGCTACAGTGCGGTCAAATGTATCCTTTATGGTGGGTCCCACTCAAAGTTTGAAAGTCATGCTCTTAGAAGAAAGAAGAAACATGGTATTCTTGCACATGGTGTTTATTTTCTATTTTCCATCCCTACCTCCACACTTGATCATCTCAAATAGTAATCAAGGGCTGATCTGAGATGGTGTCACTGAATCCTAACCTGATACGAAAAAGCCCAAATGAGGAAGGGGGTGAGCCCAAGACCCCACTCCAGTCCTGCTGCAGACCCCCTCTCACGGAACTGGGACACAGATGCCAAAGGAAAGTTTATGAGGCTCTCAGGCTGGGCCTATTCCCAGGGAAACGAACTTGAGGCCATTCCTATCACAGAGAAGACTGAAAATGTCCCTCCATCAGCGGCAAGACTCAGCTTCCAGTGCTGTGAGGAACGAACGCAGAGCTCAGGCCAGGAACACCTGCCTGTCCAGTGATAGAGACCGGGTAAAAGCAAAGGCAGGGAAGGGAAAATCCAGTCTGTCACCGGCCCGCCAGAACCCAGAGACCACCGCAGAGCATTACGCAAGTGACATCAGGTCCCAGGCAGAGCAGTTGGTGAGGAAATTTGCCCCTCAGCCCCTTGGATTCCTTGCACCGCTAACGTTCTGTAAGTGGGTGCAGGGGAGGCGCTCCTTATCCTCCCTAATGCGCGATCTCACTGGAACAGATAAGAGCAACAGAAAAGGAAGGGTGAGGAAAACGCCACTGGCGGCCCTGGTAGCCTTTCACCCCACCAAAGGCCCATTCACTCAGAAGAGCCGCCTACGTCGCGGGGAGAGAGATCTACACGGAGCGGGAAAGGCAGAAAGCAGCGCGGCTGCGGGAGCCCTGCGAGCGCCGACCTCCGCCGCCACCGTGGGAGGGTCGGCGCGACCCGGCAAGGCAGACAAACTCTCGCCGCAAGAGTGAAGTCGGAGGCGGCGGCGCCCTGGAAAGAGGTCCCCGGGAACAGGTGTCCCCGCCCGGTCCGGAGCCCCGCACCCCGCTGGCGCGGACCTCTCCGGGGCTGGCGATGCGCTCCGGGGACTTGGCGGGCGCCGGGTCCCCCACCTCGGGCGGCGCCCCCGATCCCAGGGTCGCCGAGGGAGACCCAGCGTCACTAGGGGGCCGAGAGCGTCCCAAGCCCCCTCCTCGACCCCTCGGAGTCCAAGCCCACGGGACCAGGTGACGAGGGAGCCGCGACCCGGAGCTCCGCCGCCCGGCCCGCCCTGCCGGCTCCGGCGCAGCCCGCGTCCGCCGCGCTGTTTGTAAACAAACCGGTCACGTGGCCCGGCGCCCGCTCCCGCCCCCGGCGCCCGGG